ATAATACTTCATTTTCAAAATGTATTCCATAACCATGGCACGAACATAAAAAATTGTTGTGTTTTACAAATGTCGAATTACTCAGTGAGGATGAAGAACCACAATGGGTACCTTTTATGATTGCATTCATTTTTTTGGCAAGAAACTACTTGGGTGATTAAATAAACCTCCATAGCCAGAAGGGAAAATAATTTTATGACTAATAAGCCATTTGTTACCTCTTTAGTGCTGTGCAGCCAGAATCTAATCATCAGCCCTTTGAAGAGGTTGACAAATTGCTAGTTCGGGAATTGTAACATGATTTGAATTGATCCTAATGCCCCTCTGAGGAGGAAGAGAAAGGGGAAAATGAAATATCTCCCTTACACGACTTTAGGGCATCGCTTATAACTTCCCACTTTTCTAAAATCATTTTTCAAAGAAAAGGGCTGTTTGCTGTTACTTTGGAGATCAAGTATCCCTCATGGGCTCGTATGTCTGAAGAGTTGCGGCCCAGCGAGTGGCACTGGCTTGAGAGCTTACAGAACCTTTAGGAAGTGGACCGAGCTGGAGGAAATGGGTCACTTGGTGACAGGCACTGAATGTCGTATGCACTCCCTCCTTCCAGTACTTTCTGTGTTTCTTTACCTACAAAGGTGTAAACAAGCAGCCTCATACTGAGTTGTGGCTTCCCTGCCTCGATGGACTGTGTACTGTCGAAGTGTGAGCCAAAATAGTCCCTTCCTCCCTTGGGGTGCCTCTTCTACAATTGGTCAGAGTGTGGAGAAAAGTAACTAACAATTATTAAGTATCAAATGCATATTGAATAGCTCTCACATGTAAAATTCTACATTCGACTGGAAAATGCTGTTTTAAAAACCTATATGTGGGAACTGAGGAAATGGCTCAGTGGTTAAGAGCATTTGTTGATCTCACAGAGGATCTGGGATTAATTCCCAGTACCCACATGATATAACTATCTGTAAATCCCATGCCAGAGAACCTCACACTCTTTTTTGGTTTCTCCAGGTGTAACACAAGGGGCCAGCTTGTTGGGGTTTCTGTCCCACCCAGTACCCCACAGCTGGCAAGCCCAAAGAAAATCACACACAGGACTCCATAAGGTTATAAACTGATTGGCCCATTAGGTCAGGCTACTTATTAGTCCTTGTAACTTATATTAATCCATTATTGTTATCTATGTTAACCACATGGCTCAGTACCTTTCTCAGCATGGCAGCTCACATGTTGCCTCTTCAGTGATCTGGGCAGTAATGGGAGGGAGCTTTCTGCTTCCCAGAATACTCCCAGTCTCTTTGTTCCACCCCTACTTCCTGTCTGGCTTTCCCGCCTATACTGCCTGTCTGGCCAATCAGCGTTTTATTAAAATATGATTGACAGAATACAGACAATTCTCCCACACCATCCAAGCTCCAGGCAAGTATTTAGTACATATATTAGGATTCAGGCAAAGCATTATATACATAAAACAAATGCAGAGGCTGGAGAGATGTCTCAGCAGTTAAGAGCACTGGGTACTCATGCTCAGTTCCCCCACCCATACCACAGCCAACAAGCCCCTGTAACTCAGTTCCAGGAGATCTGATGCCCTCTTCTGCCCTCCATGGGCACTACACACACATGGTTCATATATGCAAGCAAAAAGTCCACTCACATAACATAAAATAAAGAAAATATTTTAAAATAAATGAGTCTATAACGTGTGTGAGTTACTGGAGCCCAATATTTGGAACTGGAGCCTAGTGCTCTGCCTAGTGCTGCATGATCACTTGTGATGGAGTCTAACTGGTGAAGTAGCAATGATTCTTTGCCTCATTCGGAATCCCCTGAGGAACTTCTTATGCTGTATATATTAGAGACGACAGCACCTCTACAGAGATTCTGAATTCGTGACCTTCAGGTGAAACTCCACAACCCCAGAGGAATCGATCATGGGCATGTTTTATAAAACACTTATCATAATGGTTCAAAGCCTTTGACCTCAACAACTGTAGCTAGGAGTTTTACATCTAAACCCACACAGGCAGAAAGGATGAAAATAGATACACAGCAGACAAAGAAGTGAATGGGGAAAATTACACAGCAGGACATCTGAAAAACCTCACTGGCTCCACTAGCTCCTGCTCAGTCTTCCACTTTGAAGTACACTGTGCCAGTCTGTAAATGGAAGGGCGAGGGGCTGATGCTTTGACCTGGGACTAGGTGCCAAGGGTGAGACAGTCCACAGGGAAAGCAGAAGTCACTGCTTTGCTGTCACAGGTTGGGCTAGCCTGCGACTCTAGATTTCAGCATTGCTTCTAGTCAGAGACACTGTAGCCCCCGCCATAAGAGTTTGCAATGATCGTCTGAGAGGGACTGTGTAGGCTGCAGCGAAGAAGAGAGAGTGATTGTCTATGCATACCATTTGGGAGTGAAGCGCCACCGCTGTGGAGGAGAAAAGTGATGTGTTTGTACAGCGCACCAGCTTCCTCAGCAGCAGAGAAACTGCAGGTTGAGAAGGGCCATCCAGTCAGACCTCAGTGTTCACCCTGCGCACTGCATACGTAAAACGCAGCCAGGAGCTGCAGGAGAAATACAATGAAATGATGAAAACAGAATTCTTTAAAATCGTTGCTACTGTAGCTCCCCAAGCTCTACTTACACCGTCCAAGGAAAACATGTTGCTAATGGCAGTTGAAATGAATGTGGGTTACAGACCGGATCAAACTTGAAGGAAGAATTTTTTTTTTTAAAGCAGGAATCTGTGGAGTACTTTTCCTATGCTAAGTGCTGTAGAAGAGTGATTGCATTTGGTCCTTGTGACATCAGTGTTATTTAGAGGGTTGCAGAAGCTCAGAGTTACTAAGCTCTTCATTTGAGATGTCTCAAATAATAAATGACAAAACAATATTCAAAACCAGCCCTGTCCGAGTCGGGGACAGAAGCAAAAGCACCATCAAACTTTCAGAACGGTGGGCCAACAGGATGCAATGACCAAACAGTGCATACATACATGTACCAAATGGACTTTCAGAGTCAGAAAAATCCATGTGAATTCTTCTCTCTATCTCAGGGAGGTTCTAAGTTAAGAAACACATCTTCTGTTTCTCTGGTCTATGAAGTGAGAACTAAAATTCATCAAGTACTGGTTAAGATGATGTGTACAGTGCCTAATAGCAAAATATCTGGCAAATGTTGGCAGTGGGAAAGAAATAAAAACAGAAAGGAAAGGATATAAACAGGAGAGGAGGATGAGAAGGAACAGGAGGACAGGAAGAGGAGAAGGAGGAGGAGGAGGAGAGAGAGAGAGACAGAGAGACAGAAACAGTCCATTGCTTTTACCCAGTAAATGTTATGAGTAGCACATCTTAGAGTCAGCTAACCCTATGGCCTATTGCTAACAGTGTGTATAATGCATTGAAGTATACATATTTAGTGTGGCTCAAACTTCTGCCCATAGGAAGAAAAGTTGAATGAACCCTAGATCTGTGCAGCTGTGCCCCACGAACACTTCCAGATCAGCTCTGTAGCAGAAGCATCTCACCCAGCTCAGCATTCTGAGTGCTCAGAAACTGAATCTGAGATCCTAACAAGTCAAACTATTCAACCAAGTTCATTGGCCAATTCTTTAGAAATTAGACAATATCTAAACTACTCTGAGAATTCTGTTCTAAAGATGGCATCCAAACAGGCTGTGCTCAGAGGAAAGGTGAGAGGCCTTGGGAGGGAAGGTGTATGCCGAGAGAGTCTTTTCCCAAAATGGCGCCAGATTTGACGTGATCATTAAAAATGCTATTTTTTACCTCCTTTAAATCCAGGCTCTCATCACCTCCTCTGTAAAATCCACCCTATTTAAATCCCATCCCCCATCCTCTTCCTCTACTGAGTTCTTTTTTACAGCATTTCCATCCTCGAACACAAAGCATAATCTTTCAGTTTTGCATTTATTGACCAGCTTTTCACAGTGACCTCAAGAAGACCTAGATATTTTTTTTCCCTCTCATTCACTGTGAAATTCTAGAATCATTTCTGAATTAGATCAGGATTTAATGGTGTTTGATAAATGAATTACTGAATGAAAAATCTTCAAATCTAGGAGGTTTAGGTTCTTGAATTATGGTATGACGTTTCATTCTTTTTAGAAGTCAAATTTAGAAAACAAATGTAAGTAGGCCTATAGATATAGTTGTGCGATATTACGGTTGCCTAATATGTTCAAAGGCCCTGGGTTCAACTCCTCATAACACTGAAAAAATGGAATAATAAAAGAAAGAAAGCAAAATAGAAATCAAATGTAAAGATTCTTAAAATATACTAACTTAATAAAAATAATAAACATATACAAATTTAAATCTAGAAATTAACTAGGCAAAACTGGACTACAAAAAAATAAAACATGTTCTAGAAGAATGGAGACAAGGAGTGGGCGTCACGCTTTTATTTTCCATTTTAAAACACATTTTGAGGCTTGTAGAAATGACTCAGTTCTGGAGAGTGCTGACAGCTCTTGCAGAGGACCAAAGTTTTGCTCCCAGAACACACATGACAGCTCACAACCCTCTGGCATCCTAGTTCCAGAGAATTCTGATGTCCTCTTGGGCCTTCAACAGCACCAGGCACATACATGATACACATATATTCAGGCAGGCAAAACACCCATACGCATAATCTAAAAATAAAGGTATCTTAAAACACATTTTGTCCCACATGAAAATGGCCACGAGAGGAAGCGAAGACAGTGAGGGAGGAGGAATGACCAGGGCCCTGGGAGTGCAGACACTCTGGCTCAGCACGCTGCTGGCCTTGCTGCTCCTTGTCTGAATGTTTGGCATTTTTGTCTAAGTCAAAGAAAGACCTTTTAGCCAAGGGGCCTATTAAAGCTCGGTTTTCTTCCTCTGCAGTTTTCTTCACTTTGCAAATGTGGCTCTAGGAATGGCAAGTCTGTGCTGAATGTTAACTAAGTACACAGTTTTGTTCAAACCCATTCATTCAAGTTCTTCAGACCTCCTTAAATTCTTTTCTGTTCCATGTTCACCTGTCTTACTGGAGTGCTGTTTAGAGAAGAAGAAAAGAATGACATTTTTCTTTTAAAATACATTTTCCCTACATACACACAATACATTCTTCATCATATTCACTCCTCCCAGACTCACCCCGCCATGCTCCCAACTTTGTACCCTCTTTTGTTTCTTTTATCATAGCCCACCAAGTCCAGCTTACTCATTCTCATGGGTGAGGCCACCCACTGGGATCCCAAAGACCTGCCAGAGGATGCACCCTTACAAAAATGGACTTTCCTTTCCCCGGGAATCATTAACTGTCAACCCCTCAGCTAACTGTGGATGCTCATGCAGCTCCGCGCTGGAATATTGACTGGCTTGATCTTGAGCAAGTCTGGTGCAGGCGGACACAGTTACTGTGGGTTTACAAAAACAGAGATCCTATCATGCCCAGAGGACCCGAATTAGTTCAGTCCTCCTTGACTTCTGGGTTTTAGAGTCCTCCTTGACCTCCGGGTCTTAGAGTCCTCCTTGATCTCTGGGTCTTCCTGCCCCTCCTCCGAGATCTCTGAGTTTGAGTGGAGAGAGTATGACCCAGATCTCCTTCACAAATACTCTGCACTTTGACCAGCTGCAAATATCTTTGTTAATGGATGTCCAAAGAATGCACAAAAGATTCATGAAGGACATCCAAAGGATACACAAAGAACTTTCTATGATGAGGGCTGAGAGTTGTCATTTTTATCTATTCGTTTGTCTTTAAAAACTGGCAAAGATGGCTCAGGAATTGGCCCAGTGGGTAGAAGCATTTGCCACACAACCTGAGTTTGAGCCCCAGAGCCTACATTAAAAAAAAAAAATAGGTCAGATGTAACTGTTGCTATCTGTAACCATAGCATTCCTAAGGCAAGATGGAAAGATGGAATGTAGAGAAGCTCAAATACCAGTTAGTCTGAGGTACGTCAAGAAATAAGAGAGACCCTGCCTCACCGAGGTAGAAGGAAAGAACCGACTCCCAAAAATGATCCTCTAACCTCCGCAGGCATGCTGTAGCACGCACACATGTCTGCACACACAGAGTCATGCACACGTGAATGCACAAACACATACAGAAATAGTAAGCAAATTTTTCTTAAAGTTAAAAGACTGGTATATGAAAACAAAATATGCTTATTTATGAAACAATATATTGTATGTAAATGCTGTGTAACTTTCAGAGCTAAGTCAGCATCTGTCACTTCAAAGTCTTGTCTGTGCTTTGTGAAAATGCTGAAAATTCTTTCCCTAGCTTTTGGAAATCATAGTACATATAGTTATGAATAGTCGCCCTCCTGTGTCAAGACATGCAAAAAGGATTTACTTCTAACCAACTGCAACTGAATACCCACTGATCGCCTTCCCCTTTCCTTCTCTCTTCCCAGCTTCTGCTCTCAACCTCCCTGAGATTGGCTTTGGTGGTGAAGCCTACAGTGGTCCTGTTCACACTCTGCCAGCCTCCCACTCCTGCCTTTGTCCCCGTCTCTCTTTCCTTGTCCTCGACTGCCAGTCTGTGTGTGGGCACATCCCTGAACAAATAAAGCAACAGGGCTGACAGAAATCAGGACCAGGGAAATCTAGAAGCGATAAGGTTCCCAGACTTGCCTCTGCTGTATATCTGACGTTCCCTGCCTGGGACCTCTTAGTAGGCTCCTTGCCTAAAAGGTTTCATTTTAAGCAAAGCTGTCAAAGGTTCAGACAAGGAACAGAGAGTCCCACAGAAACCCCAGTCAAAGAGCCTGAATTCCTGGAATTGTGGTCTTTTCCACCCGACTCCCTTACTTTTCCTGCTCCCGTGTCTGCAATGGGCTATGCCCTGTTTCCATCTGACTCTACAGAAGCCATGCTCTCCCATTCCTGTCGGCAGAACTGTGTAATGTCTGTCTGCCTTAGTCTTGGTTTCAAAGAGAGCCTCGCAGGCCATTATTCCTCAGAGGTTAATAAATTCATGGTGCCTCCATTTTTTCTCACAGGTATGAGAGGGCATGGTCTATTTGTAATTCTGTAGATAGCTAAATATTTCTCAATATCATGTCATTTTAGAATTGAAGGGCTTTTAAGGTCTAGTTTGACATAGTGAAATCTCTATTGCAAATCCATGGTTATTACAATAAGCTACATGGTAGGTAGGTGTTGGAAAATATTTTATGTCCATAAGTAGTATAAATCAACAGTTAGGAAGATAACAGTCAGTAGTGTCTGCCCCAAAAGGAGTGGGGCTTGACTTCATGTCTTCAGTAACTGTACAAAATTCTAGGCCTCGTGGGGTGCATCTGTAATCATAAAACTGTGGGTAAAGCCAGGCAAAAAGAAACCAGAAGATCCTTGAAGTTCACTAACATAGTAGTCTTGCCTAATTAGTGAGCTCCAGGTTCAGTAGCCCCTGTCTCAAAAAAAAAAAAAAAAAAAAAAAAGGTAGAGAATGGTGGCATCCAAATATACATCTGGCCTCCATATGCATACAACACACAAATATAAATAGTATAAAAATCAATCTGAAGCATTTATCAAATTATTCTTTGTTAATCAAAATTCGGGAATCAACTATTAGGGAAGTTAGGGATTAGGGAAGCGGCCAAGAAACAACCAGTGACTTCCTTTTTCTCTCCTTCCTCGATCCAAAAGTCCAAGAATCTTTCTACACCCCTCCCTACTACTTCCTCTGTCTCTCTATGTGTCCCTGGTCCTCCAAAACCTCTATGATTAATTTTGGTCAACTGGTAGCTAGCTCTGCCCTCTGATTCAAAGTAAACTTTATGGTCAGTCTTGGGAGTGTCAGAGTGCAACCAAAATATTCCACATCAATCATCACATAATTCACTAGCTTCATTTTCAACCTAATTCTCGGTGATCCTTTATTAGCAAATAATCATGGCAAAGTTTTGAGATAAAGCTGAAAAACCAGCACCTGGCTGAGCCAACGAGGGCGGTACTAGTAGGGGAGCAGAAGAAAAGGTAGTTTAGTTACTAAAGCAGAGACAGGACTGGACACAAATAAAAACATCCTTCATGACACGACCCGTGGGTTGAGGGACGAGAAGACAAGGAAAGGACAAGAACAATGCTTCTTCTGAAGGGCCACACATCTGCTCGGATTCGATGGTGATTCTGGTGGTGACGTGAACCAGAAGAGCTGTGTTAAACAGCTCCTCCTCCAGGAGTCTGGAGAGAGTTCCATGGCGCTGGAGGAAGTCTGACGATTAGGAAGGATAGGACTCTCATCTACCTTGAAGTGGCTAACACGGCAACATCCACACCTGCCTGTGATCATGAGAACATTTTGCCAGCACAGCTGTCTTCTAATGGCAAGTTTTATAACTGTCTTTTCTGTTTGTTTCAGGCTTGTAAATTCTACAGTTCCCAGTGGTATGTGGTAAACTACAAATACGAACAGTATTCGGGAGACATTCGACAGCTACCCCGGTAAGAATGCTTCATCTGTTTATTATAAAGACTACGTGGGCTTTTTTGCATATGTTTAAAAGTCACCTCTTTGCAGGCCCCAACACTGTTTATGAACACAAGTGTGTTTATTTTGTGTCGAGGTACATTTTGCAAAATGTATGCGTCAAGATACAGAACATTTTGATCAACAACATAATAGCTATGTTGTTATAATAAGAGTTTGGAATGAGACTCAGTCTTCTCTAATTTGCTACTAGCTGCAGTTTGAGCATTTGCTCCTCCTTGAATCATCCATCGATGAGCTGTTGTTTCAACAGTGGCACCAGGAAAGGCCAACATGGTGCAGAGAATTTCTCACCAGATTCCAAACAGCGTTTTGATTCATAGCCTGCTTTATGTACATTCACTGAGAGATTTCAAAATGCATGCAAATGGATTCCACCGAAGGGCATAGATCTAAAAACAGAGCAAAACAGAAACTCGGTGTGTGACTTCCCCCTGACGCTTGGGACCCTAAAGCCTTTAGGAAGGTCACTTTGTTCTGCTCTCCCCACGCACCAATCCACAGAGGCCCACCTGCTCACTGAACCACAGGAAATATTTATTTGTTGCTTCCCCTACTGAATACAGTCCTTCAAAGGGCAGGGAGTTCCCTGCTGAATCCCTTCAGGATAATTCCTGGCACATAATATTGTGGAAATTTTTATTTTTAAACATTCCCAAACGGGGACGGAGATGGCTGAAAATTTAAGAAATAAAAATGCTTTCAACAAGTACCTCTCAACTCATTAATTCGTCAAATAAACATGATACAAAGATTCAAATACTTTAAGAAAAAAACAAGAAAAAATATCAAAAGTTCAAAAGTTCAATGTCTACTTATATTTTCCTTAAGTGATGCACACTGAATCAAATTTTGTTTTATTTATCTATGGCACAAAATTCAGCTCTACTTAGCAATATTTTCTGTCCCCAGGAAGATATTTCCAAACTAGGACTCTAAATGGGAACTGTGAATGGCTCTCAGAAGGTGACATTGAGCTGTATCTTATGGGACTGTGGCTACCAGAGCTGTAATCTCAGGAAAAGAGGGTTCTGGGAGTGCGGTGCAGTGGAAGGGGGACAAGATCAAAGGCCCTGAGACCAAAATTGGTCTCATCACTTGAACAGAATGAGAGGCTGGGAAGCTAGACGGTGAAAATAGCAACAAGAATCCAAGGACCTGGGGAACCCTAGAGGGAAGCGTAGATTTTATTCTCACTGCGAGAGAAATCTTGAGGAAGGTCCACAAGGGGGTAATGTCTCTTAGAAATCATTTGGCCTACATTTGGAGGAGTGGCGTAGAAGAGAAAGGAAAGGAGGACGTTGTTTTCTTTTCCAGGAGTTGCCTCACTGTGAATAGCAAGCCAAAGGCTCTCCAAAACAGGAAGTCTTTTTTTTTTTCAAAGAAAGCCCTGTGCCTTTACTCCTATAGATTTCTAAACATTTTGGAAAGACTCAGAACTCCTTAATGATAATCTCTTGGAACTTCTTCTTGGGAAAGTCCTGTCACACCCCGGGGTGTCTCAAGTGATGATGGCATTCAAGATGTCTGGATGTTAGTCACATGCGTCCTGTAGATGCAATTGACAATCAGATTGTGTTCTAAGATCTATGCTTCTCTTTCTAAAAACAGATCTGAGAATAATCACAGCTTGGAAGCTCTCACAGTGCTTGAAGAACAGGACCTAGGCAGCCACATTCCAACTCTCATTATTTTTGTATGGTGTCTATGTGGTGTGTATGCATGTTTGTGTGTGTTCTACTGCACTTGGAGCTGGTGTTGGGAGTCGCCTTTGCTTTTCTTTATTCATAGCAAGGTGTCTCAGTTGATCTAGAGTTTGCCAGTGTGGCCAGCCTCCCTAGCCATCTTGCTCTAAGGCTGTCCCCAATGTCTGAGTTCTGAAGGTGTGGGTGGGCTACCATGCCCACCCAGCACTTCCAAGAATGTTGGGGATCCAAATTCCAACCCTTAGGCTTGTATAGCAATTGCTTTGCCTGGTGAATGACCTTCCTTGACCCCTACCCTTTGAGTGAAAATGTTTCTACTCTTAGATACATGGAGCACTTCAAGTCACTTTAACTGCCAAATACTGTTATTGTAAATATGTTGCCATAAAAGATGTAAATACAGTAGTTTAGGCTCACAGAGTTTTTCCTTTATTAAAGGATACAGAAAGCATGTCCATTAAGAAGAGATTCTGGGAGTAGTTACTGAGTTAGATTTTTCATATCTTCCATAGACACATCTACAATATGGTAAGAGAACATAACTGAAAGGTTGTTGACAATTCCATGCACATTATCTAAAGATGTGGAAGGATATATTAAGAATAGGAAAGTTTGCCACATAAAATACATCCTATCGTAAGTTCTAAAGTAGAATTCCCTAGTATATGTCCCAGAATAATAAATACATTATTGCATAGTAGAATTATTTCTTGATGATTTTACAAAGCTAAGAACTGCCCCCTAAAGACGGTGCATATTTAGGTCAGTAGTGAAAGCAGATTAATTCAGTTAGACCTCGTGGGGCTGTTGAAAGTAAATCATGCCCATACCTCCTGGATTAGAAGAGCCCTCCTATGTCTGCTACCAATTTAAGCTGATCATTTCTTTTTGCATGTTGCTAACACTACAGAATAAATTGTGAAAGAGGATATTATTGAAAAAGCAAAAGAAAAAAGTGAAATATATCCTTTAAATTTGAAGACCATGCATTTAAAAAAAGCAAACTAGAGAGCGCCATTATTTTTCCTAGAATGTGAAACCTCAGCCTTCACACGGTCAACATTGAACTTGAAGTTCCTGGGAGGTGAAAATGGTATGAAAATTTCTGATGGTGCTGATTTCCTCGGAGCATTGACAGAATGCAGAAGTGCACAACATGAAACAAAAGCAAAAAGTTTTACCACCGTTGATCTGAGAAAGAATATTTGCCAAGGATATATTTTTTGGATGATTATCAAATCAAGTTTAACCAGCTCACCTGGGCTAACCAAGGACAAGAATGACTTCTGTTTAAAGAAAGGAAGTTGAGCAGGGTAGTATAAACCAGACATTCAACGTGGAGGCAGGAGGATTAGGATCTCCTAATAACTGTTGTCTACATAGTGTGTTCAAGGCCAGCCTAGGGTACTCCAAACCTGTCTCCAATATAACAAAATAAAACCTTAAATAGTTAAATTTTTGTTCATTGTCTGCAGTGTGTTAGAATATGCCAGCTGTGGTGCGTACATTTTCTCCTGTTAACTACGCAGAATGGGAACTGTTGTTGGATTTTACATGGGAATGTGGGCACTAAGTTCACAGATAATGACTGAAGGGCATTCAAGCATTGCCATGATTCTTCCTGGGGCAATAAGAGGAAGTGAAAAGTAAGATTCCCTGCAAATTATTGCTCACATTGGGTTCAAACTCAAGATATAAAGTCCCTGGCCAATCTTTTATCTTGAGATTTCAAAGGTCCTTAGAGAAGGCCCTACGCTCCTTCAAGTTGAAGGCAATAAAAAGAGATATAATCTTTTTTCTTTTTCTTTTATTAAGTAAATATTTTTTTCTTTATTTTATACCATGATTGCAGTTTCTCCTCCCTCCTCTCCTCTTGTTCCCTCCCCCGCCTCTCCTCTACCCCCATCCACTCCTCCCCTCTTTCTGTTCAGAAAAGAACAGGGTTCCCATGGGTGTCAACAAAGTATAGCATATCAAGCTGAGGGAGGACTATTAAGGCTGGGTGCAACAACCCAATATGGAGAACAGGTTCCCAAAAGTCAGCTCAAGTGTTAGGGACAGTCCCTTATCCTACTACTAGGTAATGGCAAATCAACCCCACACCAGTTATGTTTTAAAGGGGTATTTATTTGGGGGGGTAAACTTACATGCACATAAACCGTCAGGAAAGGAGCCTAGTTGCTGGAGCAGGAGCCAGAACCAAGCGCCAGAACCAAGAGGCTGAGCCGAGGCTTGCCGCTCTTCTTTTAAAGAGAAATATACCACTCCCCAGTGGGCTGGTATTTCAGCGGCTATTGGCTGACGGAGCGGAAGGCGCTCCCCCAGCACTGTGGGCTCATGCTTCAGCGACTATTGGCTGAAGCAGAGGAAGGTACTCCCGCAGCACTAGGAGTTCCACAACTAGGTCAAGCTACACAACAGTCACACATAGAGAGCAGGCTTAGGTCGGTCCTGTGCAGGCTTCCTAGCTGTCAGTCTAGAGTCTGTGAGCTCCTCTGAGTCTGGGTTAGTTGTTTCTACGGGTTCTTGTGATGTCCTTGACCCCCCTGACTCGTCCGATCCATTTAGTAGAATAATAGTAGTAAGTAATCCTCTAAGGCCTAAGACTGATGTAGTCACAAGTTATTGGCCTCAACAATGGTGTCTAATAATGGGCTTCATCATTAGTAACAGGCCTTAAATTCTATTAAAAAGAAATAGTGCTGATTACTCCCATAACAATGATGTCACTGCTGCACCAATGGACATGTCTTGTAAGACTTGTCCAGACTGTTCCCACTGTTCTCGGTGTACTCTAGAACTTGATGATAAGGTCTTACTGATGAAGATGTTAATTATTAGAGTCATAAAACATAGAGAACCAAGTTGATTCTGATATAGAAGCTTCATTCTTGCTCATTAGCATTCATAATGTTGGATGGTACTATGCATGCTACCAGAGGAGAAAAGAAATCATAAATCTGGCCAAGCTATGAACCCCGTGACTCATAGTAATGACTGGTCTGACACTGTATGTACACTGCTTCATAGTGGCAAGAGTATGGGATTAATAAATCCCTTTCTGGCTGGATTTCAGGGGTTTTTTTATGCACTGTAGTAGGAGATAGCATTATAACTTCCAATCATGTGTAAAGTGTTGTTTTGAAATATGGAGGCGTTGTGGAATAGTGAAATCTAGCTGATTAAGAAATGGATCACTTCACAGCATCATCATTTTTGTGGTGATAGCTCTTAACATAATTCCCTCTACAATTTACAAAAATATGTGTACAATTTACAAAAATATTTGCACGATCAGTTAGCGTGGAACTTTCCTCCACTTTCCCTTCAGAGCCATACCATCAATTTTAAAATCCCATCATGCACATATTTCAGATAAAACATTTCGAGCAACTGCCCTGAAACGTGTCATTTGAAATTGTCCCTGAAACTCAGATAGCGTGGGAGGGAGAAGGAAAAGATTGTGTCGAAGGCTTTCTCTTGTCAATCAAATAAAATGTGAAAAAAAAGTTGCTTCTTGTTCACAGAGTATCACGTGCTATTATGGAGAAAAGGAATGGGGTAGGAAGGTTTTCCCAGTGGTCCTAAGTTAATACTGTGAAGACTACTTGCTAAGCCTTCCCAGAAAGGTGACCATGACCAAACAGAGCAGAACAAGTTAACACATTGAGCATGACAATGAGCATAGGTTAATTGAAGCACCTCTGAAGCTCTACCAAGAAAAAGATATTTTTTCAAGAAAAAGATTTTTTAAATGGCTATATTCTTCTTAATATGCTTTCTGTGATGATTTGAAATTATCTTTCCCGACAAAATTATTTCACAGATATGTCCTCCAACCCCATCTCTCTGGTGTGTTTATATAAGTGGTCCTTATGGTCTACAAATTTATCTCTGTAAAACAGCAAGATTAGACAAGTCTGGAGTCCCAGTATTGCATGCCAAAGTCTGATTATAAACACAGGTGATTAGACAAAGAACAATATCCCATGCATATTTAAGCTTGAACGCAAAACTTCTCTCTGTGTTTTTAAACGTCTTCTAACTTGTCAGTAAACTGTGGATGGGGAATGTCATATTAGTATGTTATTACTTCTGATAAGAAATAACTTGGATATATGCAACTATGTAAGTCATACATATCTGTTAATAGCTATGTTTTGAATACCTACTATGTGCTAGACTTGAAGAGGAGATAATAACCTCCTGTGTGTGTGTGTGTGTGTGTGTGTGTGTGTGTGTGTGTGTGGTGTGCCAGCAGGTGCATTCTCTGTATGAGTGTGTAGACTCCATGAGGTCAATATCAAGGGTATTACTCTTTTCATTTTCAGCCTAATTGTTTGAGAGAGGCTCGCTCAATTATCTGGAGCTCACATTTTAGCCACAGTGACTGGCAATCAACTCCTAGGAACTTCTGGCTTTTACATCAGTGCAGGTGATTGGACGCAGGTCCTCATACTTGCCCAGCAAGCACTCTCCCGCTAGACAATCACCTAGCCCAAGGGGTTAGTCTTGAAATAACACTTTCTACAACACCTTTAACTGTTGAGAAAGACAAGTACTGATGAGTAGGTCTTGAGATTTTACCAAGATGACAAACAAAGAAAAATAGAGAAGAAAATTGAAGTGAAAGCAACAGGAAACTTCACATTGCATTCTTAGCCCTGACTCTCAAGTCCTGTGTTCATCACAGTGCCTTTCAGGAGGACCCAGTGATGGAATTGTCTAGGGATAGGCAATGGTGAAGGATGCAAACATTTCCTAGTTCTTGGCAATCTGTTAAAAAATGGACAATGCTTAACAATGAACAGGATTTTCTTCTGTGCTGTAACTTCCCATGGTGCACTGCGAAGTGGGCACTGGGATGTCCTTTAGAGGAATGATCCATTGAGGGAGCATCCTCTGGGAAGGCATAGCAGGAACTTAAGTATAGAAACCCTTATCTCTCTCTGTTTCTCTCCAGAGCACTGTCAGCTCAGGAACGGGTTTGGTGGGGTCATCTAATTCTCCTCTGGTCTTCTTTTCTCAGTCAGATTCAGATTCCACAGACTGTGCCATCTTAAAACAGTGCGTGAAATGTCTGCATATGAAACTTTATGCCTTACATAAAGGCATAAAGGCAGAGGGCTGACTTTTGAGAAAAGTCTAAACTGGAAGTGGAGAGTCTGGCTTCTTCCAGCCATTCATTATGAGACAGACCTGCACCAAGGGAAACTGACTTCAGACTTATTTTACTGCGTACATAGAAAGCTAGGTGTGCCCACTTGCTCCTCCAGGATGCCCAATCACGCCACAGCTGAAACTGCAGCTTTTGTGATGTACAGGCAACACTGCCCCATTTGGGTGGCCTTCTGAAGAGCTACCACAGGGGCATGACACAACCTGAGGGTCAAAACACTGGCTGCTTCTCAGGAATCAATTCCTTCTAAGCCTGAGGCTGCTGAGACAACCATCCTGCAGTGTTGGCCATGTCATATACAGGTGACCCAGAAAAGCTCATAAAGGTGACTTTGCTTAATATTCTTCTTCAGAGTGCAGGAGAAGACAAAACTCTTAAGATTTCCATCTGCCCTCTTTGCTGTCCTTCAATACAAAAAGATATGCCCAAATTTATGTCAATAATGACTCCACAATTTAAAATATGTTCTTAGTAGAGATAGGATACAGTGGTGTAAGGGAAAAGTTAACTCTTCTCAGAGACAAAGAACCCCCTCCCCCAGATTTTTAAAGTTGCAGAGCATAAAAAATTGAAACAAAGTTAGTGAAACCATTGTGATCTTGGGAACAGCAAAAAATAAAAACCAAGATAACAAACCGAACTTTTTTTTTTTTTTTTTGAAATATCAGAGCAGAACACAAGCCAGAGAAACTTCCTTCACATTCCTTTGAGGTTGACCATGAAGACGCTGATAAGGATGAAGTAAGTGATGGTTTTGAATGACAAGTTTAAAACATGGGGGCCATTAGTTCCTGCCTGCACTGGCTTCTTCGCCATCTGTTTTCAGTGAGCAGGAGGGGCTGGTTGTGTTGGGGCTTTTAGGCAAAATGAATCATGTTTGTTTTGACACTGAGCATGATTACTGCAGATGAGTCAAGAGGGAAAGGGAGTCTCATTTTTAAGTGCAGTGTCTAAGATCCGGGCTCCACGAGGCAATGCTAATGATGGCTTTCTTTGCAGGATACCACATCCCACTCATCTTCCAAGGGCGGTGGGGGAGCCGGAGGCACTGGTGTGTTCAAGTCTGGCTGGCTTTATAAGGGGAATTTTAACAGCACTGTGAACAACACTGTCACTGTCCGGGTAAGAACACAAAATCCCTGCTCTGTCCCCTTTCTTCGCATACCTTCTTGGGTCACAGCATGGAGAGGGGCCATTTGCATAGTGTTCACACTTTCTATAATATTTCATTTATATAGAAGTCAGTCTCTGCTCTAGAGCACTGCTGCGGGAGTACCTTCCGCTGCTTCAGCCAATAGTCGCTGAAGCACAAGCCCACAATGCTGCGGAGCGCCTTCCGCTCCCTCAGCCAATAACCGCTGAAATATCAGCCCACTGGGGAGTGGTATATTTCTCTTTAAAAGAAGAGCGGCAAGCCTCGGCTCGGCCTCTTGGTTCCGGTGCTTGGTTCTGGCGCTTGGTTCCGGCTCCTGCTCCAGCGACTAGGCTCCTTTCCTGACAATTTATGTGCATGTAAGTTTACCCCCCAAAATAAATGCCCCTTTAAAACATAACTGGTGTGGGATTGATTCGCCCTTAGAGCACTGCCCGTCTAAAGGACCCTGAAGACTTGTCCTTCCCATGAGTAGCAGAATAATGAAATTCAAACTCTCTCCTTCTATCTTTTATTTAGTCATTCAAAAAGCGCTACTTCCAGCTGACTCAGCTGCCAGATAACTCCTACATTATGAACTTTTACAAAGATGAAAAGATCTCCAAAGAGCCCAAAGGCTGCATCTTTTTGGATTCCTGCACAGGTGTGGTACAGGTCAGTGAAATCCCTCTTCCCAATGGTGGCTTTACTTTTGCTGCGTGACACGTGCAACAAATACTTACAATATATCTGTATAAGTCAAGAATGTTCTAGACTCTGGGAACTTGTTGATAAACGCGCAGTCTAGATCCATATGTCCACAAAACTTTCAATAGAAAAAAACAACAAAAAACAGGAAATAAACAAGAAAACAGCGGAATCAGTTGGCAATTTTCTTCAATAAGAAACATCCCAAAAAAGAGAGATAAGTAGATGGAAGAAACGTGTGTCCTGATATTGAAAAGGAGTATTGATATTTGAAAAGAGGCATTTTGGAAAGAGACAAAAATAACTAAAAAGAAATAAACAGAGAGGAGACTAAAGGATCCATGGAATAAAGACTGGGTAGGATCAGCAAACACTAAGTCTGAAGTATAAGCTAGTCTGAGCTGTATCAAGGAAAAGAAGGAAACAACCCCTTATCCAATCTACAGCCTAGAAAATGACTGAATTGATGAAATTCATGGGGGAGACACATCAGTCACACGGCTTAAAATATATACTTCATAAATGCTCTTCCCTTTCTAACCAGATAATCAGTTCAGTGTATAAGCACAGCACCTTTCTCTGAAGTGGAGATTTTCTTTAAAGACAAGGATTCTTTTGACTGCCTGGAGTTTACAGAGAGGAGCTGTTCTGGAAGTTCTTAATCTTCAGATTATCTTACTTAGTATTGCACTGGTCATGAACTAATATATCAAGTGGAAGAAGAAAAATTCCATGGATGTCTCCCATTCCATGGGTATTGGGCGTCCTTTCATTCTTCACTCCTATGAATCTATATTCATTTTTTCTTAAAAGCTGAAACAATCAAGTACTGTAGCGATCGCCCCTCATTTTTCACAACAAGACTCTGGACCCTGGAGAGACAGTTTCTGTAATAGGCACACCCCAGACACTCACAGAGATTGTAATTTCATAGCTGAATTTACATCCGGAGCTATTATGCAGGGCCCTTATATCCATAGATGCAAAACAGAGTTGCCTACTGTCTCTCAGTCCTAAACTATTTCCGGGCACTTCATCTGTTAAAATCTGGAACGCTTCCAGGAAGTAATAAGGCTGAACTTTCGTAATTAATTAAGTGTTGCTGAGTACCCTGCTAGAAGGGAAAGCTAACTGCATTTCAATGCAGATGCCAGCTTTCCATATGGAAAGGATAATGAGCATCATAATGTAGGGTGGGTGGCCTTCTATTGATGGTCGCTAGGCAGAATCTCTGGCCTTAAAGTCTGTAGCAAATCCTTAACAATACTTTGGAGATCGGTGATTACATTTTATATTTACGCTGAGCTGAACTTGTAATTTTTTTCTTTTTTGTTTTCTTTGGTGAGTCATTCCAGAAAGTCCTGACGCGTTCTTTTTTACGCATTAAGCTTGCAGGGAGGTAGCTTATATTCAATGCCATTCTACCAGATTGGGTTCTCATGGGTCTCCCCGAGGCCCCTGTGTTCACTGTCTCTGATTTAGACTTTGTTTCAGTCTTTTTTTTACAGCATTGTCTTAGGAAGAACCTGACAGGGCCAGCCAGCAGACATTTAGGGTTCCTTCAGGTTAGCATTCAGATCCTAGTTTCCTGTTGACCTCCTGAGCCTTCTGAGAGAGTCACTCAACCTCTGACCTTAGGTTTCTCATCCACAAAACTGAAGTAGATGTGCAGACTTAGGAAGGATCTAGGTGATAATGCGTCCTCACCCTGCTTCCCTGATCGCCCCGGTATAGTTGACAACTTTGAAAGAAAGATAGTCTATTGAAAAATGTCCGAGTAAACTATGATTTGCCTTCTCCAAGCCGATCCTTAAATATGTCAATTAACCCATATCTTTATCCACGAACTCATTCATTCATTCCTTATTCGGTGCTTATATTATGCTTGAAACTGTGTTGAAGCATGGGAAACTCATTTCCCTGTTAGACATCAGAGCTACATGCTCACTGTGACACCAGAGCCACATGCTCATTGTGACATCAGAGCTACGTGCTCACTGTGACGTCAGAGCATGCTCACTATGACATCAGAACAACAGACTCACTGTTAATCAACATCCCAAAGGAGAAATGGAGATGAATGGCTGTAGGTGGGCGGTTCTAGGAATGCAAAAGAGTGATAACTCTCTTAGCTCCAAACATCTCAAAACTGATCTGTCTGTCTACCTCACTCTAAGATCTTCTGGGTTGCCAGCACAGAGGATAGAGTATTTGGATCTTTACGATTCATCAAGATGGATTTTAAACATGTGTCTTTTGAAGAGTTCATGGACTCTTTCAATAACCCCGATCTTTCTCAGACCTCTCCCATTATCTTCTTTGTTTATGCAGGGTCCTCCAGTTAATTAAGGTCATTCTCTTTGGGGGTTCACACACGTCAGGGACACTAGTCCCTGCTCTTACATTACAGCTCTTTCTCACTTACACCTTTTTATACCTGACAAGGAGACTGCAAGAGAAAGCCTGTGAATTTTAACCATCAGTCTAATAAGATCTCCAGCACATTTAGTGCCTGAAGGTGAATCACATGTACACAAAAGCACAGAACAAATGAATAACTGGGATGAGTCAGATCTGTTTTGCCAGGGATCCTTGCCAGCTTTCTTGAATTAAAAAGAAAAGAACAAAATCTTTGTCTCAGTAAAAGCTACCTAACTTCTAAGATTCTTTGGGAGTTTATAAAAACCTTTCAGTGAACATTGCATTTTAGTTTGTCTCGCAATCTATACCATTATTTTCTTCCCAAGAATAAATATTAGAATTAAGAGACACACATTACAAGGGTGACCTCAAAGAGAGGGAAATGTCAATTCTTTTTCAGAAGCCTTAACTGATGTTTGTGAATGGCAAGTTCTTGAGTCTTGATAACAAAGCAAACAAACAAACAAAAAACCTAACCATGCTTCTTTGTTTTCTCTTTCTCTTTTTTTTTAAAGACTATTAACAAACAGCATTAAACCTGTAATATAGGCAAATCTGGAGCAGATTCTTCCACTTTCGCTGGCTCGGGTTTATGCTGGGACTAAGTAATATTTATGTCTAGATTACCCAATCTTTGTCCTTCATTTTTTTCAGTCATTCATTCAGTTGTTTACTCATCTATCCCTCCGTTCATTCCTACGTTTCAGGTCTTGCCACCGTGGAAGCAAATAAATGGCTCAAGAATCCCGTTTGTTTGAGTTTTCTTCTCAACAGTGCTAATCTTATCACAGCAACCCATGTTGGTGGTGGGGCCACACCTGCCAGTACATGGATATGGAATCTTTAGTTAAACACAGGAGGCTATCTTTGAAAGGCTAGAAATTAAAACATATTAGACAACTCACTGGGGCTAAGTATGAGATGCAGGGGTACCTTAAACAGTAGAAAAATGCAGCATGCATGCCCATCTAAAAGTAGTCATATGGGAAGAGTATAATTTTAAAAAATAAATGGATCTAGAAGTCATATATGGCCCGCACACTTCCCAATAACAAATTCTGGCTCTGAATATTTTTATTTTCGATTATAGTAACATCCAGAAAAGTATTTACAACTTTATACATTTAATATATTATTTGAGATAGTTGATGGAATATATATTATTACTGCCCTATTTATCAAAATAAAACCAAGAGCCAATGTGGCTTTACCAAATCACAGAACTAATAAGTGGTGAAATTAGATATGAGGTAGAGGATTATCCAGTGTTATATAAAGATGTCCATCCATGGAAATGTTATATTTACAACACAAAAATGAGCATCCCCACTTATATACATCATCCTATATAAGCAGTGTGATCAAAGAAACGCACAATATATGCTCATGAGCAGATTCCAGCAGTGAGATTTAGGGTGCATCTCTGCAAGTACATACATACTTAGAAAGTTTCTTTGTGCACAGATCATTGGAAAAGGCAGATATAGAAAGAAGTGTGGCTTCTGTCTTCAAAGAGCTTCCAGACTATGTGGAGAATACACAGAAAAGGAAGTGGAATATGCAGATAAGACATGAGTAACAACCTCAAACCCCGTCTTCACAATGCTTGCAGCAATGAAATTACATTTATCAATGCATAATGCTTTATTATAATATAAATGATACTGTATTATTGTGCATTATATTCTATTCACACATATTTCTGCCTATTTGTTTATTGATACCCAATAAAAGTTAAGTTTAGGAGTCTGGGGAGATAGCTCAGCCAGCGATTGCTGAAAAAATTTGAAGTCCTGAGTGAAGATTTCCAGAAACCCATTTAAAGTTGGATGAAGCAGCATGCATCTGTAATCCTCAGTCTGCAAGGTGGAGGTAGGCAGATCCTTGGAGCTCATTATCCAGCCATCCTAGCTGAGAGGATGGTTTCCAAATCCAATTAGAGAGCCTAACTCAAAAAAGGAAATAGAGAACAATATAAGACACAGACATTCACCTCTGGCCTCTACATACATGCACATACGTGCACATGCACTCTCTTTCACACACAAGCATGTACATAACATACACAAACACACATGGAAGAAAAGTAGGGAAGGAAGGAAGGGAGGGAGGAAAGAAAGAAGGCAGGAAATGTAGAATGCGAGTTCAATGGGAGAAAGCACTTTGCCAGGATATTTGCTAATGTTGTGTAGTTGACACAAAGGAAGTACTTGAGAACTTTTTGTTTACTGGATTAACAGATAAAAGATGAGGTGGGTGGGAGCCACCAGCATCATGAGCCTGGATGGGATGTCATGTGTTTGATCATTGTCTTTCGCTTTCTATAAAATTCCATAAACAATTCTAGTGTCATAGCAGATATGATGGAGCAATTGGTTTGGGCAATCTCCTCTTTATCCTTGAGTCCTCCGTTGATATTCGTACTTTTCTTACAGTCTGTGTAATTGGGATGCTTTAATGCGCTCTGGTTGGCTATCACCATTCACCAAGCACATTGCAGAGCCCTAGAGCATGCTGCATTCCCTGCTGTTTATGAAGGCATGCGCTCTGGACCGGGCAAAGCCATACATCAACGAAGTAAAAGGAAGGAAATTGAGAGAGTATAAAAATTGTCATTACCTCTTGGTTACTATTTCAATGACAGTAATTTCATGTCGGGATTATTCAAGTATCTTACTGGCTTCCCATGTTTGTTTTTCCCTATCTGTGGCTCTCTTTGGCAGTACAGAGAGTGAGATCAGAAAGCATTCCCAGGATAGGCATCTTTCCAGCTTTGCCTCCACCCTCCCCATTAGCTGTTACACACTACAGAGAGCTCTGTCCCTCGGAAGCACAAACACAATGTCCATTTTATTTATAAATGTCCTGTTTGGAGACACAAGAGCTTCTTATACTTTGCTGAATTTTTTTAAAAGATACATATTTTTTAGTGATGCTTTTAAATTATTAAAACATTGACGACCATGCTTAACTCATGTGAAATACAGAATGCAGTTTAGAAACCCAAACTTTACTGCTAACACTGGATTTCAAAGCAAATTGAGGATGGACCCACTTTTCATTCTGGCCCCGAAGAAGCTTTTGCTGTCGTTTTTACTGCTAGTCCATGTTATTTCCAGCCTTGGGTTAGCCAATAGATTCCGCATGAATCTCCAAACAACACTAAGATTTGTTTGCATTGTGCTATATTCAAATCTTGATAACATCCAAACAGAAGTTATGCCCCATCCTCTGGACACCCCTAGCTTTTTCCTGGGTGTCCAGTTCTATTTCTCTTGTCATGTGAAAAAGCAGAACCTTAACAGGAAACCTGCTTTCTTGCCCCATTGTCTTTGCCTGCAGAGCCTCTGCTTCGTGAGAGTCTCTGGCAGTGTTCTGCCTCCTGTATCACAGTTTACCCGAAGGGCACCATGGGGGTGGATGGAGGGAGTCTGCCCACCCCTGCCATGTAGAGCATCTAGGGCTTTGCATTCTTAAGCTCCCTAGACATTCCCTTTAAATACCAAGTTTGAGGCTGTTGCCTGTCTGTTTTTCTTCCCATCTTAATTGAATGGCTATCAAAATGCAAATCTTAATAATTACTTTATTTTGTCCGCACAATTCTAGTCTGTGTCCTTACAGAATGTAGTATCTCTTTTCAAAACATTTATGTGAAATTTCAGTAGGCGTATTTTCCAATTGAATATTTCCAGGGCTAGGTGTTTAACATTTATCTCTCCCATTCTGCAAGCCCGGAGACGAAGTAGAGCTTTGCCCAGTACAGAGTGCCAACATAGCAGAGCCCTACCTTGTGGCAGTAAACCATCACTGCACTAAATGACAAAGGTAAAGTGTGAGCTTCTGCGCGTGGGACTTGTGAATCGTTCAAGAGCCAGGCCTGTGAGTGAGACATTACAAAACAAACATAATCCTAGACAATGGTACAGAGGGAGAAGCAATGAGATCCTCAGGAGACTTGACAGAAGAGCATTTGCTCATGCTAAGAACCACAGTAAACCTCATTGCAGCTTTCCTTCTCCGTCATGTCATGACTGTGCATCAGCTCAAGGCTTACGTGCGACCTCACTGTGTAATCTCTTGTACTTAGAAAAGGTGTGACTCTGTATCATGAATGTGATGATGGGATTAAAGGCATGCACCACCACTGCCCAGCCTCTATGGCTAACTAGTTTGACTGTTGGGATTCAAGGTGTGTGCCACCACTTCCTGGCCTGGCTGACCAGGAAGGCTACCTTTGCACTCAGATCTTCAGGCAAGTTTTATTTGTTAGATCACAAACAAACTGCCATTATAGCCATCCAATCAATTAAAAGATATATAAAATATTTTCAGTACAGTTCTGAAGGAAAAAAAACAACCAAATGACTAGACTTATCTAAAGCGCTGTTGTGTTCTCTAAGATTTTCTTTTTGTCGCCCACCTGGATGGAAAGGCTTTGGAATCCCAAGACCACATCACTGTGCCTCATGGTTTATTGTTTTGTTCTTTCTTTTGAAACCACAGAATAACAGGCTGAGGAAATACGCCTTTGAGTTGAAAATGAACGACCTGACCTACTTTGTACTGGCAGCTGAAACAGAGTCCGATATGGACGAGTGGATCCACACCCTCAATCGCATCCTACAGATCAGTCCAGAGGGACCACTCCAGGGAAGGAAGAGCGCGGAGCTTACCGAGCTGGGGCTGGGTAAGAGCGCAAGAAATCATCTCCCTGCTCTGGACAAGTGTTGAGCTGCGTGCTTAGTTCACTGTAAATGTGTGTAGTAGCTGTCTGTCTGACTGGGCTCATCCGTCCTTGAGCTACATACTCAAGATTCACTTCAGATCTTTACCTTTTAATGGATCATCACAGCTGCCACATATTGGGGCAATTTTGCATTGACTGGAAGGCTATAACCCAACAGACAATGTTGGGACTCATGACCCAATAACACCAAAATTATACACATTTCTGATGGGAAGATCTTACAGAAGGTACATTTTGGATTTGGGCATTATATTGCATTTAATAAGTATGATATAGTATCTGTAAGAAGAAACATGTTTTACTTTATCTTAGTTACAAGGCATCTGTGATTCAGGCTGTTTTGACAGTCTTGAGACCTTCAGATTGTCATGTATCAGATACGTGAAAGTTCCAAAGTCATATGTCATGATGTTTTTTTAAGACCAAAAAAAAAATACCTGGAAGATTAGTTCAGTCACTAAAGTCCTTGCCATATAAATGTGTTGGTGTGGATTCAGATATCAGCACCCCTGTAAAAGCTGAATGCAGCAGTGTGTACCTAAAAACCACGTGCTAGGAAAGCAGAGACAGGGGTATGCCTGGAGCTTGCTGGACAGCCTGTCTTTCCATCAGTGAGCTCTGAGTTCAGCGAGAGAAGCTGTCTCATAAAATAAGGTGGGCAGTCACCAACAGATATTTCTAGTCACAGATGGCCCTGAATGGGTCACAAAACAAAACCTCATGAATCTGTGTAAGGGACTGTGTAAAGGGGATGTGACAGCAATGGGACCCAAGATAAGAGAGAGAGAGAGCGGGAGGATAATCAGAACATGTTACATGCATATCTGAAATTAGCAAATAAAAATGGATCAATAAAAAATTATATAGAAGGCCACTGAGAAAAACAATAGGTATTGACCTCTGGCCTATACATCATAAACACATGTGCAGGCACACACAAACATATACACACATAAACACATGTGCAGGCACATATAAACATATGCATACATAAACACATGTGCAGGCACACACAAACGTATACACCCAAGAATGAAAATTAGAAAAATATATATCTGAGAAAATTTTGTTGTCCATTAGTTAAGGAAGCCAAGGCAACCTATATATCCTGTTAGCACTGTAAATATCCAAAGTCCTTGGTGATACAGGATGATAGCAAGGCATCATAGCAAGGATTGTGGAATCCTAAAATGATTGTCAGGAAGTTTTATTTCCAGCCCCTGATTGTATTGTAGACAGGACAAAAGGAAAGCTTGGCTTCATAAGAAGCCCTCTTGAATCTAACCTCTTATGAATCTAACCCAATGTTTCTATAGATGCAGAAAACCGTGGCCCATATTATTAAATAATCTGTGTTGGTCTGTCTTTTCAAGATCCTTTGGATAATTCTCTGACTTGTGAATGTACGCTGGAGGAAACAGATTCTTCAGAGAACAGCCTACATCCTGACTTTGCAAAAGTAATGAAGTTGACTCTGTATTTGCACAAATATTTTTCTTTCATGGAAAAAGTACTGATGCTTTCCTTTAAGATTTAGACTAAAAGGCCGATCTAGAATTCTTTATCAATCTTAGAGCTTTGCTTAACCTGACACAACCCTTGAAAATAAGAACCTGTTTTTATAAGATTTCCTTGGTGTTGATGGATGACTTAACAGTAATAAAACTAAGGGACTGTTTCTTGGCCTCTGTAGTTGTGTCTGGGGCTACATGGGGAGGTTTAGATGCCAGGGACTAACACGGGTCTCTCCTCAGTACCTCACAGAAACAGAAGACACTGTCAAAACAACGCGAAACATGGACAGGCTCAATCTGTTCTCCCTGGATCCAGATATAGATGTAAGTTGGGATCCTGAGCAAAGATGAACTTGACCCCTATTATTGTCGATTTTAATTTAAAATTTCTCTTTTCATGATGAGTGTTGGCTAACTACGACTTTCAAACACTTTTTTTAGACCCTGAAGCTTCAGAAAAGGGACTTTTTTGAACAAGAGTGTGTTATCAAACCCTTTGAAGAGAAAGCTGCCAAGAGGATCATGATCATCTGTAGAGCTCTCAACTTAAATCTTCAGGGATGTGTTACAGAGAATGAAAACGATCCCGTAACCAACGTAAGTTTCCCTCTCATTCTATCATACGACCAGTGAGCTCATGCCTTTCCATTCTAGCCCAGCCTTTGCTACTCCTGCTAATCCCAGGATTTAGCGTGTCGCGTACAAAGAGTCTATTTGCCAGTACGTCTCATGTTGCAAAGGCACACAAGTTCTGAAAATGATTTTTTCATATACGGCTATAAAAGTTTCCTTTTAACGTAGACATTGAAGAAGCAACAAAGGGACAGTGTTCTGGAATTGTTTGTACAAAGCCAGTGTAGTGGTTTCCTCCAGGATTGTCTGTATCTCTCTAGTGAGAGTGAAGATAGAATTATTGGCAGTGGTGTTGAGGGTAGGACTCAGGGCCTTACCAGCGCTAGGCAAGTGCTCTTCCCGTGAGCCATATCAATAGCCTTTGGTTTTATGAGATAAGGATATTACTGAGAAGCTCCAGCTAGCGTGAAAACCGCGGTCATCCCGGCTCAACTTCTCCAGGTGCTTGGAATGCCTGGCGCAAACCACCATGCCTGACTCCAGACGGCTCTAACCTGATATTTGTGTTTTGCTGTCACTTGAAGGAAAGTCAGCTAACAAATCGACTCTAGGGGTTCATCATATTCCTGCTTAACACAAGACTAAATAATGAACCAAGTAAAGAAATATTAGATAAACATTGAGTAAAAGAGTGGATGTTCTGCGCAATGGCGGGTATCACGAGGGCACTTCATGGCACTCACAAACACCTAATACATAGGACCCCAAACCCACCCAGAATTTCATTCATACTAAGGGAACTCTCTTGAGAATCTCCTTTTAGTAGGAACATAATAGTGGAGCATTTTAGACTGATTGCAAATGCATGCAAAAAGAAGATTAGATGTGGAACTGCAGAGAGAAGTCATGCCCCCACCCCCGCCATCGGCACAAACCGCAGTCAACGATCTGGGGTGTTTCCCCTCAGTTCCTTACAATGCTTCTTTTCTGGCATCTATTCAGCCTCAGCTGCCGTATTCCACCCAGAAAAGAAGCTTTATTTTCGTGTTCATGATACACAAGCCGTATGTGCTTTCAAAGGCAGGCGCGGCAATGTTCACTTGCTTGGCTCTACCCAGTCCTACACCTGCTTCCTTGAGGGAGTTGGGACACAGTGGGTTGCAGGATTGACCGACTCTTCCAGAGACTTCCTAACCTTTTGTCCTTGACACCTCTGTCCTCTTTAAGCCCCCTACCTACTACAGTAGTAACAGGATAGATCCATACTTTGTACATTCTATCTGATGAGGAGAATCTATTGAAATGGACACCTTGGATCTAATTCCCTAGTTTCTCAGCTTAGGAATTGTGCCATGTGCTCAGGTGTCTGACCTCAGCCTCTTCTGTGTAAACAGGGGTTGGGGGGGGGGTAACAGCAACCATTCAAATAGGTAACCTATGGAAAGTTCTGGGTTCTTGGTGCAGTGTAACATTTATTCAGCTCAAAGAGATGATTATGGATGTAGCTATAGGTCTGGAGATCTAGTTTAGACACTGACCTGGGAGGGGTCATCTAACAATTTCTGCATGCATAGAGAAGGGGACTTAGTAAAGTCACCAACGAAAAGCTAGGAAAGAATTGCTGTTGGAAGAGAGATACACCAGAGAAATGTGGGTTAAAACACTGAGAGGGAATCAGCCCGCTGTGTGTGATGGTCCTGAGACTGTGAAATAGGAGTTATAGGGGGGCCGATAGGCATGACATCGGAGAGCTGCACTTCCCTTGTGGAAAAAGATATGAGAAGGGAACAAACCATGCTTTTGTGTTGAACAGAAAGCCAAACACAGTGCCCCAAATCTTTGTCCTTGTAACCATTTGGAAATTTACGAAAACTTGATCCAAATTGTAAAGCCACTTAGTCAGCACACTATATAAAAATAAATGGGCTTTATCATTTCATACATTGATCTACACTAAAAATATAAATATTTTAAATCTATGTTTTCCATCCAACCTATTCTTAAGTGCAATTTAAAAATCCATTTTGGAAACCAAAAGTCAAAGAAAAGGGGCTTATTTTGGGATTGAGGGCGATGGGACTATGGTAATATTTGTCGTTCTTCTCCGCCCACTCCCCATTGATCACCAGCATTGATTTGAATGATCTGCCTGGCTAGGCAGATATCTCTAGTGTCCCCCACCACTCAATGCGTGTCTCTCCTGAAAGCTGCATACTTGGTTAAAGGGCACAGCCTTTCACGACAGAAAGATACCAGGGACACGCTAGTAGCTGTGTTCCTCTGGTGAACCTCAAGCAAGCTCCCAGAGACAATGGGCTTTTCTTTCCAGTGCCAAAGGCATCTGACACCTTCCATGTGGATCATGTTCAGAAGCTTCATGGCTTTATTTGTTCAAGTCTCAACAGAATATTCTTTTAGAAACAATTTTATTTTTATTTGACTTTATTCCATTTCAGCTCATGTGTGTTCGTTAGTTTTGCACGCGTGTGTGAATGTGTGCCTTGAGCCATCTGCAAGAGAAGCCAGTGCTCTTAGACAGTGAGTCATCCCTTCAGCCCCTGAGAGTGGCTTTTCCATGTCCCTTCCTGTCTCTCAGGCCAAGGGGTTAGTTAAGTTGGTTTTGAGCTTCTGAGTTGTTTCTAAGTAACCTTACAATAGATTCAAGTATTTTTAAATACTTGAAAAAGTATTACTTTTCAAATACTTGAGTGAGATTGTTCGGGAAAAGCTCGGGTTTATCCAGTGGCGTGCTTCCACTAATGGCGCTCTTGGACCTCGTCATTCTTAATTGTGATGAGCATGTTTTGAAGAGCCGTTCTCCATGTTACGAGAGAGCTAACTGCTGCATGTCATACACGAGTATCCACAGGCTCAATGAAGACTTCTTTTATGGCAAAGAAGCAGACTTTGACAGTGTGTAATTTTTCAGTCAATCAAATAGAACACCAAATCCTAGCTGATGGTTTCACAGTATAAGCTATTTCTGTCAAACTCCAGCAATCTGAACTAATACAGCTGTTTCATAGTAGCTACAGTTAAATTTTCCTTTCCCTGAATTTTCAAAAGTAATTCATTAGCCTAAACCTCAGTAGCCTACAGCTTATGTGCCAGGCTCTGAAGATGTTTTTGTTAAACAAATCCATCCTGTAATGACAGCCATTCAAAAAGTAAGGTTTGGCATTTTCACTATGAACACAGAATGGAAAAATAAACAAATCCCATAGGAGCTGTAATTTCTGATGAGTTATTAATGGAGGTAATTTATTTCCATTCAACAAATGGGAATGAAGGTCAAAATGCAACAATTCAGGAAAAAAAAACAGTGATTTCAATTTCTTGAACTTCAAAGTATTTGTGTACCTACACTAATCTCTATTTTTGCATTTTCAACTTCTTAGCACACTACAACTACCATGAAGAGTTTTTCTAAACTAAATAAAATTACTAAAATAAAGATTCTACTCAATAATTACATTTAAGTAAGCAAAATTGTCTGTGTGTGGGGGGGGTATTGTGTACATGTTTATGTGAGGATTCATGCACATGTGTGGAATGTAGTCCTCAATGCTGGGTGGGTAATAAGGATCATTTGCCCTTATCAACTTAGACCATGAAACCCAATATGGACAAGTTCAACAGAACAGTCACATATAAAAAATAAATAAATAAATAAAAATAAGGATCTGAACTCAGGTCCTCACAGTCACACAGCAAGCTTTTTACTGTCTAAGCTGCCTCTGCAGCCTCAAAAGAGACTATGTTGAACTTTATTTTAATTAGGAACCATCTCTAACAGTGAGAAAGTTCACTATCATTAAATGACTGAACGGTACCTCTGTTACAAGCTAGTCATGCGATAGACCTCAAAGGCCGGAGGATATTTAACAGGACGCACTGCATGAGCCTGCAACACTATGCATTAATTGGGATGTGGGACTCTGTACAGCCTTCTTGTTCACAGAATATTGGCAGACAAAAGTAAAATTCTATTTGTTGACAATTTTTTAGAACTCCTACTTAACTGCATAGCTACAAAATCACATACACATATCTACTTTAATTATCACTTAAATATTTAAGTATATTTAATTATATTCATTTATTTAGTATATTTAATTATCCATTCGTGTATCTATGTAAATTAAATGTGTATAAAATTATATACACATATTTTACCTAATTTAAGACATTTCCTTTTTTCATCCCAGGGCTGTGCACATACTAAATCAGCACTAGCCTGCACCCCTGTCCCTTAACTTTTGATGATCTTAACACTTTTCTAGTTAAACATCCTTTCTATCTTGACTACTTGTTTCTATGATATTTTGGCAGCATTTAATACTTTTTAATCATATTTTGTTTTGACTTTTCAGAGTTGTGGTATGAGGTTAATGGTATAGCATTTATCTGACACATATGAAGTCATAGGTTTGACCCTCCACACTGTAAAAGGGAAGAAAGGGCAGGGAAAAGGGAGGATGGAGGAAAGATAAAAAGGAAGGGAGGGAAGAAACATATCTCTCCATTTTCCACTCTCTATTTTTATTTTGAATATTCTGTGCTGATTTTAGTTGGCTTACAAACTAACAGACTCATGTTGCTTTCATACACACTTTGTTTGGTTCATTCTCCCAGACACCCCCATCAGCATCCCACCCATTCATCATTGTGTCCTTTCACCCCCCAATATTTCCCTCCCCTTCCACATTGTTCCATTGTCTCCCCCACCTTTCTCATTCAAAGTCTCTCTTTTCCAGTCTCATCAGCTCTTTTCTAGTTCCCGGGCTTTACCCAGTCTCTTTGCTAACTGCTTTGGCCTCTCTCTGTTCGCTGCATGTTGCTATTTCACAGAAACCTATACTGACTCTCTTCTCTCTTGCATTATTTATCATTTCTACTGCTGTGACGAAACACCACTACCAAGGAAACATATAAAAGAAAGCATTTAATTGGGCTTACAGTTTCAAAGGGTTAGAGTCTATGATGGTGGAGAAAGGCATGCAGCCATGAAGAGAGCTTTCATCTTGATCTTCAAACAGGAGGCAGAGTACAGTGGGAAACGCTCCAGTCTTTTGAAAACTCAAAACCTGCCCCCAGTGGTACAACTCCTCCAATAACTCCACACCTTCTAATCCTTCCCAAGCAGTTCTACAGACTGAGCAACAGTGTTCAAACATGAGTCTATGGGAACCATTCTATTCGAAACAACACATCTGTGCATCACGGCTTACATAGGAGTTCCAGGTCCAGATTTCCAGCCCAGTTCTTTTGACTGACCCAGAAACCCAAAACTCATATATCCGTGACCATTGAGATGTCCTACAGAGGGCTTTCTGTGTTTCATGAAGAATTTGTCTTTGTGTCTTTATCTCCTGTGTCAGTGACCATCATCATGAGCTTACGTTCCTATGCTTGCAGTACTGGAAATATTCTTTGTGTAGTACTGTGTGGCTTTGGCATACACTGTTGGTTACAAAGCCTTAATGTTTCTCTTATGGACCTGGGCAGCTTCTAAGTAGTTTTACCTCCACTCTGATTCCAGCCTAGTGTGCTTTTGGGGTCCTTTCCCTTCATTATTTATGCCTTTTCCATTTGTCTTGTCTTGGAGCCCCGTGAACAAACTCTACTTAAGTCCTTCTTTAAAGCTAATGCAAGCAACTTTCCCCCTTCTCAGATTCCATCATTTTCCCTTTTCTGCCTTAACACCTTCAGTTCCCTTCACAACATCTGGGAGGCATGGTAGGTGGATAGCTCCATGGAAGCTTAGACTTAGGTGAGCATCCCTGAGCCCCGGACAGGGAAAGGAGAAAGCTACCCAAAGGCACAGAAGTGACTTGCTAGTAGGTCTGTCACGATATGGGTTCAGGATAATAAAGAGAAGGTTGTTAGAAAAGACAATTGACATGGTTGGGAACCAACAAAGAACCTGAATAAATAAGCAAAATAATATTGCTAATGGAGGCCATACTTCTCTCCGGGTAGCCAGGAAACAGAAACATAGTCTCTGTTTACAGATGATCAAATTGGAATATATATCTACAAATATTATTGAAGGGAAAATGGTAACCTTAGGGTCAAGAAAGCTAGCAGATGGCAAGGTGACCAGAAGTTAAAGTTAGTTGTCATAGTTACTGAAAGAGTTGACCTTAGAACTAGGTGCTAGAAGTGTGAGCTTCAAAATTAGTACAAAATAAAGAGACTAAGTGATATCTTCTTTAAAACCTCCCCTTAAATACTGTCTTCTTTTTAGGGGAGTTCCCATCATCTCTGACAACAGGTCTTTTTCACAAGCGGATCCTCATTTGTGTCACGCTATCATGTTCATGAACGTATTAAAAATGCATAAAATGGTAGAAAGCACAAAGTCAGTGCAAAATAAATTTTATTATTACCATTTCAAGCTATGATTTAAAAAAAATCTGAAAGGCACCAGCTGTGGTGGCACAAACTGGTAGGACTTGTTGAAGGGGGTGGAGGCAAGAGGATCACTAATTCAAGGCCAGCCTGGGCTACTCATTTAGCTGGGTGATGGTGGAGCACACCTTTAATCCAAGCCCTTGGGAGGCAGAGGCAGATGGATCTCTTGAGTTTGAAACCAATCTGGTCTACAGAGCAAGTTATAGGATAGCCAGGGCTACACAGAGAAACCTTGTCTCAAAAATATAGAGAGAGAGAGAGAAGGAAGGAAGGAGGGAGGGAAGGAGGGAGGGAGGAAAGGAGGAAAGGAGGGAAGAGGGAGGGAAGGAGGGAGGGAGGGAAGAGGGAAGGAAGGAAGGAAGGAAGGAAGGAAGGAAGGAAGGAAGGAAGGAAGGAAGGAAG